AAAAGCCGTCGGTTTCAAAAATGTTCCGGGCAAAAAGCTTGAGCCAACAGAAACATGTACAGACATGTTCCATCAATCAAAAACACCGGCATTGCTGGCACAACAAAATTTCACGTCTAGCCCTCAAGGTAGACTCTGATGCCGCCTAAACCGCGCTGCGAAAAGCGGCAGCGTTGCAAGGCAAAGGTACCCCACCTGAACACAGGAGCAAAGAAAACCGTTCAGTGCAGAAACCGTGCATCCCAATCCAAAGTGTCACTTTGGATTGGGAGACTTCTTCCAGGCCAGCGCTTCACCAACCGGTATTTCGCCGCTCATCGTGCTTCAAGGCGATAAGTTTTAAATGTGTCCGGATCACCTTTACCACAACAAGCGCTTAGGACCAGGTTTCCAACTCTAAACATATAGAATATAGAGGAGGCCTGGGCAGCAGAGTCCTGTTCTGGAGCCTTTTTAGTATGCAGCATACTACCCACATCAGGACTGCAAGCACAGTGTCAGGCTTGTTTTGTGCATAGGGTTGAATTCGACAGATATTTAACGCCAAGTATCAGTGCGAACACAGTCCCCCCTGGCACTGACAATGACATCTGGAACCTATAAACTTAGGCTGTGAAAAGGACCTCCCAAGATGGGGCCACTTGCAGGTTGCCTCAGCCACCCCCAAGCACCTCCTCAGGAGTTGACATGGCGCCTGCGACTAGCAGCTGAAGTTATCCTTCTGATAACTTCCCACTCCCACTCATCAGGCTGCCAACGGCTACAGCGCCCATAGGATAGGAACCCAAAAACACTAGCCTAGTGCTGGGGGCAAAGAAAAAGGTTCCAAGGTCGGGACCATGTTTCCAGCGCTGCCAGCTGCACAAGCAAGCAGAGTCAGGCCTACCTCCTGGCGACGAGCTTGAAGTGCAACTACAAGCAAACTATCTGCCAAGGTCAGCTGCCATGTCATACTCTAAGCAGGTCTCCGTGGCCACGAAGCGGGCCAGCCACGGTGCTGGCGGCAGCCTTGTGGAGCCCGCGCGTAGGCTGCTGACCTGCTCCCCGATGTTGAGTCTCGCTGGAGACAACAGGGACTAGAGTGCATGAATGCAAGAACGCAGCTTGCATTCCCAAGCCGCCTCCAACACCACTGCATCCAACCTTTCCTCAGGCCAATTTGCATGCGTGGAGGCTCTGAATCAGCTCTCACCTTCTCCATGCAGCCTTCATCCTGTCCGGCTAATTTGAGTTGAAATAATGAGGCCTGGACCTCCTCGCTGCCGTGAGGTGAGAGCCCTGAAGCAAAGCATGACGTGCGACACATCTCAGCCAACGCTCAGCAGTCCATCTCAGTCGGAATGCAAGGTCTCAATCTGCAGTAGGTCATGTGAACTTTGAGGCCCGTCAAACTAAGAGTGCATTTCTGCGCTATTTGGGAAGGCAAGGGGCTCTCTGATGCGAGCAATAGTTTTTGTGATAGATGTGTGCCCGCACACTTTGGAGTGCAACCCCCCCCCCCCCCCCGGCCGTGCATCACAACCAGGCCTGCAGCCTCTGGCACGGACCACCTGCGAAGCAACTGGCATGCACCCATCAGCTCTCAGGCTGTCAAAACATGTTTCGGTGATTGTGTTAGCACCGGTTAGCACCAGCTTCACATCCCAGGCTGAGTAGAGTCCGACTTGTTACAGAAACACCTCACAGAAGCTGTTGCGAGCTGCTCTGCTCAAACTTGTACGTTCGATCCTTGATGCAATATACCAAGCAACATGATGGTTCAGACTGCATGGAAGCGGCGAACCCTGGCGTTAGGTCCTCCCATTCCAACGTTCTTTCTGAAATTAGGTTTGCTTTCCAGTCAATCCATGTGCTGGCAGCTTCCCTGACCCACCCAGAGCCTCGGCAAGGATCGGTGCACTGCTGCAGCGATGTACGCCATTGCTTGGAGCGCGTCAGGCGAGGCGAGAAGATCAATGATCTTGGTACGGCTAGCTGGCTACAGTCCATCACAGGCCCCAAGCTTTCTTCGGGCAAAGATGTGGCTCACTGCGCTCTGATGCCCTTCGGTCATGTTGATCGTGGGAAAGGTTCTGGTGCCTCAACAAATGTGGCGGTGGCTTTTGTTGTCAAGGCATCACGATGGTACTTGCATGGCAAAGACCACTAGACACTACATTGCAGCAAGCAGGCTCGGCTTGTCTTAGCTAAGCGGTGATCTCTTGTGGCAAAAGCAGCTTGGTGGCACCTGGTACAGCTCATCCCCATTCCCCTGACCACCGGCAACCACCAACCCATGCTGCCAGCCTTGCAGGTGCAAGACTCGCAAGCAAGACTCCAGAATGGGGTCAACATGCTGCCAGCCTCCTAGAATCGCTTGGTTGTGATGTGAAGCACGCGTTCACACAATCCGCAACAGAGATTTCTGCAAATGGATCAGAGCTTCAGGGCAGCTTGCTACAGCAAGCCTTCTCGCCACTTCATGATGCGATGGTTTTGGTAGTCTGCTATGTAGATGGTCGAATCCTGACACTGCCATCGGCACACTCTTGGTGATTGCAGCTGACTGGCTAGCCTGCCTTGAGCCCGGCTGACCAAGTGAAGGCTTGCCAAGGCCAGCCCCATCACTCATGCTAGCGCACGTGTTCCCACTCAGAACATTGCCATCAGTACTACGATTATGTTACCTACATCCTACGCGTGCAAGCATGTTTTGCAAAGCAACTTTCCAAGCAACAAAACCTGTCCTCGGTGATGTGGAGGCCAACAGGGTGCTGCAGCTGGTCTAAGCCTTCGTGACATAATTCAGTTCAAGAGACTACCTATACTTCTTATGTCTCCACGAATGCTGAGAAGAGGGTCGGATCCTAGCGTGAGGCAGCCACGGAAGGAACATAGGATTGAGAATTCCTCTTGTTTGAGCCATGATGGATGCAGGTGTTCCGGCTAGGGCGGCAAGCTTTCCCCCTGTCTAATTCAGAAACCTGCCAAAGCATAGGCTGCCTGGCGGTTGAGAGCCCAGCGTGAACCTTTGCCATTGCCGCCGGCCACTGTCACACCCTCTGTTGCTCCAGGAACCCACCTGCTCACGGCGCTTCTCTTGCGAGGTCTTCTTGAAAGAAATCAAGTCCCCACCAGTTTGTTAAACCCTTTGTGCCATCAAACGTGCCTCGATCCACAGCTCTAAAGTTAAACATACAATCTGCCGACACAACCTGCACCCGATGCTGCTTGCCTTTCAGCTCCTACTGCCTGAAAGACCAACAAAAAATGTTGCTGATCGTTTTTCGACCTGGTCTTGCATCGTCATCATCATCATCATCAACAACATCATCATCACTAGCAGCTAACACGTTGATCTTCAAGGGAAAACAAAAACAAGCAACTGTGTTGGCACAGCGCCGATTTCAGCTGTGGCCCAAGCTTTTGGATGCGGTTATTGCCGCTGTCTGACACATACAGCACTCCTCACAAAGCTTTCATAGCACCAGTAAACGCAAAGCTCAGAAAGGAATCATAACGATGTTGGTGCGTCTGCTGCTGGTGCACGAGGAGTAATAGAAGAAGAAAAAGAAATACGGGGAGGAGTAGCAGAAGTGAGAGTAAGGGTAGAAGTGTTGGGGTAGAGGTATACAGGGTAGGATAGTATAAGAAGCAATAGGACGGTAGACGTAGGCATGGGAATGCTAGTACTAGTGTCGTGGAGTAGCAGCGGTTACTGCAAAAGATGATAGCCGCGGTTGATAGCGACAGTTCTACTAAGAACAGCCAAGAACTAATGCTTGAGGTTCAGATTTGACTCGACAGGAAAGAAACCTGCTCTGGTAGATTTCTGTTTGGCGGGCTCTACACTCTACCCACTCTTATCACATGTCCTTCACGGGTCACGAAGATGTCCTCTGCATCCTGGCAGAAACAATCAGTAAGCTTTCAAGCAACTGGCAGAAAGCTTTGGCTGGCGAAGGCCAACACCCCACAGACAGCTCCCCGCGCAGCCGGCATGCCAATTCACAGAAGAACCTTCATGGCTCCGAAACGCTCCGAAGCCTCCAGCTGCGAGGCCTCGCTGCCACTCTCCTCGCAGATTTGAAGGGCAAGATCATAAGATCAGGATTCTGGAGCCCAAGTGTTCCGTATTCTTCTGCCCTCCAATACGCAGTGTTGGGCTGAAATCATCAGATCAGCTCATGAACGTGCACGGCCCACATCGCTCACATGACTTTTGCTCCGTATCATTCCAATCTCCTGGCGGCCCGCCACTGACGTCGTGTGACCTTCGAAGTACCTTGAGCCCCAATCGCACTATCTGGCATCAGGCGCGTTGATCTCAGCACCAGGGGATCCAGAGCTCAAGCCCTGAGAGCTAGTTTGAGTTCCTTTAAAGTAAATAACCTGACGCACTGTCCTGCTACGTAGACACACGCAAGCACAGGAGGTACGCACCATGGAGCTCTACAGCCAGATGGGAGGACTGCTATGACGAAAGGCTTCCAAGAAAAAAGATGTTAGTCAATTCTCAGTGTGCCTGCGCCCGGCCATGGGGACAAACGAAGCATCCTAGAAGACCAAATACCCAGCGCACCGCTGCACACGCGAACCGTTCTCATCGATGAAGTAGATAGAACCATCTGCACCTGATCCATGGAAAGGGCTTTTGAAGCGGCACAGAGCTTTTCAAAGCGGCCTATGTACAGGGCTCGCGTCCCGACATCGAGGCAAAGTTTCCTGCCAAAGGCTCCATGGCTTCTCTGTAGCTGCTCTAAGGCTTTTACATGTTTTCACCGTTCAAAGAGGCAAGCGACCCCTCGCCCACAACTTCGCCGACACCATCGCGGATCCTGGCAGTCTGCAAAAGAGAGTAAGGCCGAACCTGAAAAGGTATCGCACAACATAGCTGCAGAAGACAGCCACTAGGCAGAAGTCTTTTTCACAGCTCCTGCTGCAAGTCATCCAGCATTTGCAGCATGTTCCGGGCATGAGGCCGGGGGACATCACACGCCAGGTCTGCACCAACTCTCGCGTTAGCTTCCATAATGAGCATCTGCGCATCCTCCTCTCGGATTTTGTAGTTGAAGTTCACAAATCCAGAATAGCCTTGAACTAGCTTTTCCATCACGGCCATATGCGACTCTGATGGCTCAACTAGTTCCTTGTTAGTCTCGTTGACATGCGGCCACACATATTCCTCTGCGTCATATTGGTAGCGGATGCAAGCTTTCTCCAGGATCCGGCCATTTTCGACCAGCAAGGATGTTGAATACTCGTAGCATCCAGTGACCAGCTCCTGCAGGAGCCAACGGCAGGTAAGTTCGCCTGATTCCACGATCGTAATTCGGCGGACGGACTCTGCTGAGTAGACGATCTCGACTCCCGCTCCAAATTCCCCGGCTGCTGGCTTGAGAATGCATGGATAGCGGGCGAGCTCTGGAGATGTGAATCGCTCCGGAAAGTACGTTGACAAGCCCATGTCATGTGCAAGCGACTGTAATGCCACTTTGTCATCGAGACGTCGCACAATCTCAGGATCACAGGACAAAATCATCCACCCGGCACTCCGCAAAGCCTCCTGCTGCATGGCAATCTCAACAGCCATGGTGTCAGAAGCTGGCAGAAGCCATGTGCGCTTGGTTGGAGGCGAGGGCAAAGGGTCTCCACCGTGCCAATCCAGGGTATTGCTGGCACCGCATCCCATGCGCCTCACATCTCGGTTCCAGTACACTCGGGGTGTTAAGCAGAACCGCTCTGGTTGGTAATCTTCTCCCCGTTCCAACATCTCCTGCCGGATCATGGCAGCCTGCACCGCATCGCCAGAACGCTCACAGGCAAGGAGTACAGACTGGTAATCGGCCCGGCTAGGCTCATTAGATTGTTTGTCCTCTGACCAGATATCTTCCAAAAGCTCCAGTGCTGGCACAGAGGCTCCTGCCTCACCACAGAGCCTCAAGGCCTCGCTGCGTGCGGCACGGTAATCCCCACCCCAGCGCTTTGTATCTTCCATCCGCTGGATGGCCTCTTGCCAGCCGGAGGCTGTACCACTCCAGTCAGAAAAGTCATCGAAAGAATCCTCGGCCCTGGGGCCTTCTTCCACCAAATCCCAGGACACCACCGGTCCCGAGTCTCCAATTGCCAGGCGAAGCAAATAAGTGTCTCCTACTCTGCCATTCAGGCACCAGTTTTGCCCATGGCCTTCAGCATCAGGACCATCAACTTCACCTGCCATTCCACTTGGATACAGCACTCGTGACCAATCTCCATCACATGCAATTTGGAACTCTCCTCCCTCATGTGACAGCTTCACATCCAGCAACCACTCTTCGGAGCATGACTTCGAGCCATTGACCGTGGCCATACACTCAAAGCCCCAGTCATTCCAATCTGCAACGACGAAAAAGTCTTTCACGTCTGCAATCGTCGGCTTTGTGGCCGAGCTGAAGCCGTCAGGGACTGCAGGCTTTTGACCGTTTGACTGCTGGAGCGCTCCAGCACTACCGACCTCCAATGCCTTGTCAACTTTGATCCAGTTCTTGAACATGTTTCGACCGTGTAATTTGTGGTCCAGCCCAAGCAAGAAATCCCGCAGTGAAAGCTGACTTGATCTGGTAGACGAAGCCGCAGGTGAGATTTGTCCTTGGACATCTAGAGTTGCCAGCTGCTCTGGCACGATTCCGGAAGCTTTTGGCTTTGGCGTGTCTGGTACAGCCCTCTGTTTGGGCGCATCAAGCGTGACACTGGCAGATCTCAAGCGCAGACACGCAGGCCGACGCCGTCCATGTGTACCTCGGCCTCGTGGGCACAGGCCAGCGATCAGGCCAAGTGGTGCCAGCCATGAGGCGTTGTACATGCCAGGCCTGACAGGCCTGACAGGCTGCAGGATTGATGTCAGTGCAGAAGTTGGAGATGTTGGGGAGGCTTTTCCCCTGCATGGCAGCAACAGCCGACCAGGCGATGGAAGAGAGAGTGCCATGGCCAGGCTGGGCTCGACCGTTTTGTTGTCGTGCAATGTCTTGCAAGTTGTTATGTAACATGCAGCATGCTGTGGGAAAGCTTAGACATAGCTCACCTACAGCTCAGCCAAAGAGCAACGAAGCAGCGACATGGTTGTGGAGACGGTCACCTTGCATTACATGGATGCGCGGCTCACAAATACAAAAGAATGCTCGGCAGCTTTGGCCTCACGATGCGACCATGTTGCCCGTCTAGGACCTAGGTTTATTACACTGCATTGAAAAGCCTGAAGCCAGGCTGGCTTCTGCTCTCCTTGACTCTTGCAAGCTGGAGGCAAAAAGATCCCCGGAAGCGTCAATGGCGATGTCGATGATGTCCTGAAGCTCAGGCGGCTGGAGACGTGAGGAAAGCTCAGCCGAAAAGTCACAAGTGCACTTTAATGCATTCTGGTACTAGTAGTTGAGGGACCAGCCGAGAAGTCGTTCACCCCGTTCAGCCTCAGGCATGAAGGAAATTCTCATGGTCTGCACGTCAGGATCAATCCTGCCTTCATGGTTCCACGGGCGAATGAGGTCATACGTTACATGTACTTTCACGGTCGCTCATCTCCCATGTCCGCGAATCCAACGAAAGAATCAATTTCGCCATGTCAATGGCAACCTGTACAGACGACCGCCATTTGGACGCTTGTCCAAAACTCAGCTGCATCTAGCAACTGTCGCACCAAGACACCTTGCAGCTCTCATCCCAAACGCGCGGGAAGGCTGCCGATGTCTTCTTTTGGGGCCCACTGCCAGCAACACCGTTTTCGGCAGCGGGCTCGCAAACATAATGTGTCTGCACAGCTGATTTGTTAAGAATCTGCTGCCAAATGGCTCGGTCATGCTTTAACATTTGTCTGTTTGCCAGTATCGCTTCATACAGTCAAACAACAAAGCCCAACATAACCCAACCAGGAGCATGCAGGCACAAGCATTTCTGTTACGGGGGCTCTTATGAAACAATGGGCAGCGACAGAGGCTGCAAGCAAGGCCAGTGAGGCCAACTCACATGTAGAGCTCCTTCTTATCCAATCGCCAGGATTCCAAAGCTGCTCTCATCTGCGATTGCGTTCCCCTGCCTTGGCGCATGCAAGCATCTTGCGGCCGGAAAGAGTTCAGAACGTTTCTGGGGGATAAGTCAAACAAGTCATCTAATCAACATTCATCAACCACATTCTGCGGTCTCTTGCAATCTCATCCCGGACGAGTCCCATGCAAGCATCCAGTGGATCGAACTTTTCAACACTCTCTGCGATTTCTCACAAACCCTTGTAAGCTGCCGCTAACTTTTGCGCAAACATGCGTTGCCAGTCTTAGCACCATGTCTTCTAGACTGAGCCCGAAGTATTTCTGCAGCAGACAAGCTTCCAGGCTTCAAAGAGTCGAAGAGAGATGGACGGGATTGAAACGGAACAGGTCCAAGAAGAAATGCCTTCCTGACTTGGAGAGCCGTTTAGAGCCAAGAATTAGCCTACTTGTAGTAAAGCTGAGCCTAGACATGCATGCAAGTTGGATTATGCAAAACATTGGCGAGACAATAATCTTTCGCGGAGCCATCGCGAAACTTTTGCGAGGACATACCTTCCGGCACTGGTGGTCCATCACGCGCACATGTAGCTCTCTGCTTGAAGGATGTACAACGAAGAACCAGGGATTCGGAGGCAATTCATTAGCTGCGCTCAATCCGAAAAAGCCAGGAGGGAGAACTACACCCAAATTGGTGGATCACTATTCCCACGACACCCGAGCCAAGACCCTCATGTTCGCACATAGCCCTACCAGCTCTTCAAGTTTGACCCGAGGCCTGGACAGAGCCAGTTGCCCGCTAGGTTCAACCTTTCCATGCTCAAAGCGGCAGATATGGCATAAGTATCGTCATCCTTGTTGCTTGTACCATCACACTATGTCACACTCAGAGCAGAAGGAAAAATTGCTAAATGGTAGCCAATGCAAACGTCACAGTGGTGGTGGCTGCGGCGGCAGTGAGCGGCAGCGGTGATAGCGGCGGCGGTGTCAACGCCATCGAAGGTGATTGCAGGCGGCAGCAGTGCAGTGGCAGGAACGGTGCGATCGCGGGAGCAGAGCGGTGGTGGTGGCTACGGTTCATTACAGTAGCAGCAGCCGCAGCAGTTGCAGCAGTTACCCAGAGCTCGTCGTATACCATCAACACACTGGCAGCTACAATACTATCTCAGGATTTGCAGTGTGTTGAATTAGTAGGAGTTTACGCAAACCCTCAACACTAAACAACCCTGAACTTTGATTGAATGCGCTTCGATCCTTCACTAGAGGGGGAAAAAACATCTCAAAGCGCTTTTCTTTTAAAGCAGTGTACCAAGACCACGAGAATCTTGCACAGGATGTCATCTTAGGCGGTTGCAAATCCACCCCTCTTCAAGTCAATAAATTGCTGAACCAAAATAACAGACGCCAACCATTCACACAATCCTGGTTAAGCCCTGCATAAGGAGACCCCCACAGGGGCCTCAGCTGCTTCAGGCAGCAGAGCTCCCCCACAGCAGTGGCCAGGGCAATAGAGCCCGTATCACCTCAAAAGACAAGACAAAAGGGACAATAAATGGAGACCATGAGGGAGAGCATGGGGATTACTTATTTATGGGAGTTTGGCCGGGAGCCCAGCCAATGCTGTTCTGGAGCAGATCCAGTTCCAGCACTTCCAAGGATTGGACCTGACCTTCAGACAGAATGCAAAAGTTTACGTTTCCGGCTCATGGCTACCTTTAGCAATGCTACTTGCAATAGTAAGAGTAACGGAATAGAAGCTGAGCTAAAGATAACCCACGAAAAGCGGTTGAGAAGTGGCAGACATTGAGGCCAAGGACGTAAAGAAGGAAGGCATGGCAGCTTCTACAAAATGCCGCCGTTTTTTAGCAAGGACAGCAGCAGCAGCAGAGAAGGAGGAGGTGGCAGCACTCGCAGGTGAGGCACCAAAAGCAAGGCTAACAGGTAATCCCCCTTGTAGGAGGCCTACATAGAACTCATATACCACGGATACCCTTACACCAACATTGTGTAAGCCTTAAACGGAGGTACCCACTGGGCAACTACCCAACTGGAACTGCTCTTGAGTTGTTCTTCTGACTGTGGTGGATCTCAAAATGAAGTCTTGCTGCGCCACGAAAGGTGCAGTTTAGTCTGATTGTCTCTTGCCCGCACAAGCATCTGCCTTCCGACAAAGAGCTGCCCTGAATGCAGCTAAGCTGCTTAGCTGGTCCGAGAAAGCTTGGACCCCATCATCACCTAAGAAAACTGGCTGAACCGCACAACATGAAGGGCAACGGTGATGACAGAATTCTGCCACAACCAGGGTACTTAGGAAATGGAAATCAGGCAAGGCACCAAGGGAGTTTTCCCACAGGTTCAGCTGGAGCCTGCAGAGGAATCAAAGGCAGCTTCTCCAAGAGCAGGACGAAAGTGAAGTGATATGTTGTAAGTTTGGGCAGTGCTGACCTTGAGTGTCTTTGCTTGAATTCCGTGATGCCCCCTCGAGTTTGAGGTGAGAGAGACCGAGGAGAAAGAGGAGGGAGGAACAAGGGATGGAAAGTGGACCTTCTACAGAATCTGTCACATCTGCTAGAGATGCTGAGGACATTCAAAACCAGTCGCAGTCGTGCAAGCAGGATGCTCAAGTAGATTTAACTGTTTGGCCTCCGGAGCTTCTGCAGCTGCTTGAGGCCCTCTCCTAGGGCCTCTGCGCCCTTCTTGCCTGAGGCAAGGCACATCCTCCAGTCCCATCATCTGCTTGGCATCACTTTTAGGATCTCAGTCTGAGAGAATGTCACAGGAACACGTGACGCACAATCCAACCGGCACGAAAAGGAGCATAAAAGACGACGAAGCATCTCAAAGTCCCCGGCTGATGCTGTTTCTGCCCAAGTTCCTGGGCAAAGCTCATAATTTCTAGGTGGGGAAGGGCTGCACCAAATTCACATTGACATATGCCTGGCCCCGCTCTTTCATCCAAGCTTCAGCTCCAGCTCTTCCAGGCTCCGAGTCGCCTGCAGAGCCTCGGCCAGCTTCGAAGCGCCAATGTCACCTCGGCTCACACAGCTCGCCACAGCTCGCCACAGCTCGCAGTCTGCACATCACATGCTCCTTCTGAGCCTCTCACCCAACCTTCTGCTTTGCAGGTCCAGCTTCACGCTTTTGGCATCTACCAGCTCCTTTCAAACGCCATTCTCGGGGCACTTCTTTTTTGCTTTGTCTGTGTCGACTCCTGCAAAGCCAACTCCATGGAGCCTGGATCTCCTCGGCAACCCAAGACATTTCTAAGAGGAGTGTCAGTTCTTCTTAGATCAACTGTGCTTAGGGCACTTTTTTGCGGCACTCTGTACTGCAGCGGGCCCCTGCTGAACCCAAATCTTGTCAAGCTGACAAGGTCGAGGCCGCACTATGACCCAATCAGAGAACCAGGAAACAAGCCTTGCCGCAGAAATATCCAAGTAGATTCGCACACCTGCCTACCAAGGACGCAGGAAGCTTTCAGGGTTTATGTTTTAGCACCGAGCGTCGCCTGACCAAGGCATCGCGAAGATTGTTTGTTGCCTGTCGAGAAGCTGCTTCTTCAAAAATATTGATATTCTAAAATATTTAAACTGGCCGCAGTCCTTTTGTGACTCAGCCAATGTGACTCTTATCAGTTTCACTGTCTGCTCCATGTTCGGAATCTGCCTTCGACTCTGATATGTAGGCATGTCACTATAGCGCAACATTTCAGAGTTCCCTTGTGCGCTTTCAAAAGACTGCGCCTTGTCCTGCTTGAAGCTCCTATCATTCCACACGGGATGGACATCCATTCCACCTGGTCAGGGAACTACACAGCTAACATGTTGACTAAGCTGCTGAGTGCCTCTCACACTGACGTCGACATAGTCACTACTACTGTAGTCGAGGAACCAGATACCTGCCTGCATTCTCCAGTTTCTCGCGGAACCCACAGCCACAGAATCTTTGTCCCATAGCTGCAGGAAGAGTGGGGCCCTGTAATGCTGGCAAAAAACGAACCGTCAGCGAAGTGGTTGCGTCTATGAATTTCATGATCTTGGCCACGCTATCATGCTTCATGCGGCATCTTCTGCTGGAGCATCAGTCACGCACAAATGAGGAAGTGCAAACTGTCCTTCCACGACATGTACCAACATGTTACCTGAACACTAGCAAACTAAGACGCTCAGTGCTCAGGTGGCAGCGTGCTTCCGCTGCCGACAACGACTTTGCCAGAGCTGCTGCCCAGTGGCCACTGACGAACAGTTGGAAGGTGCACTGATTTGACTGGAGAACATGCCGCATGGACTGACCGATTTAACTATTGCGTCTAGATTGGATGCCACACACTGTTGGAGCTGCATCTCCAGCAAATCAGCAAACCTACATCAATCCGTCCACACAAACACCATCTTGCCTTCTAGGTGTACCCCCCAACCCCTTTCCCCTTCATTTCGGGGTTCCCTGCAAATCCTGGCAGCAGCCCTCCACCCTAAATATCCTTGCCCATACCCCCCATGTGCCCTGAATGTCCCTGGCTCACGCGAGGGAAAACCTCTAAATCATACTTTGCCCATACCCCATATGTACCCCAAATCTCCCTTAACCATGCCCCTTTGCACCCCTTTGACAGAACCTCTAGACCCTAGACATCTTTTGGTCATTCCCGATTTCCCTGTCGCAGCACATTAAAGGGAATATCCCAGGCCCATACCCCCCAACTCTGCCCACTCCCCCAACCCCCAACCCTCCCTTATGCCCACCAGCTACTTCCTCGTCGCCGAAGGCTGAGGCGGATGGCGCGCAGCAGATACAACTCTCAGCATGCGGACACCGGCAGCGCATTTCTGTGGAGAAGGCTGATAGCTTCCATGCCTCAGCCCCGACTTAAATGCGTGAGGGCGAGTCAATTCATGACAGTTGTTTGTGGCCGTCAGAGTTGGCATCGACGTTCCAACACGGATCGCGCACTTCCGGCGCCAATCAGACAAAGGTCTGGAAAGAGAAGAAAGCGGATTACGACAAGTGCTCGTCATCGTTGTCCTCTTGAAGTTCCCTTTCCACATCCTCCAAGCTGCGCCCACATGTTTCGGGAACCATATGGTACACAACGAGACAGCCCGCAGTATTCACCACAGCGAAGACCGTGAACACTGGAGTAAGGCCAGCAGCTGCAAGGGCAATCGGAAACACCTTCAAGCAAATCTTCAGCATTCACAAGCATGCAGCTTAGAGATAAACCCTAAACCCCTAAACACCTGAACCCTAAATCGTAAACCCTAAACGCGCCTGCATCTCCATAGCCTTCACGGCGTAGTTGAAGACGTGCGAGAGAGCGAGGCCATGCTGTCGGAGCCGCTGCGGGTACAACCTTCACGCTGCTCAGAAAACCCAGTAGTAGAAGCAATAATTTTGTGGTAACACTAGTAATAAGAATAATAGCAATAAAAATCCTAGTAAGAGTGGTAGTAATAATAATAATAGTGGAGTTTGATAGTCATACTAGTGATCATAATCACAATAATCCGCCGAGGGTCCCGCGCTCTGGCATTTGGGGGTGCAAGACTCTACCCACCCCCCCTCACGCCCCTGCCAGCGGACTCGCGGGCAGAGGGTCTCCATGCATCCTGTAATTTCCGTGTAGTGTAGTTTAGGGAGGTTTTATGAGGCCATTCATGTATTGCACAGGGCTCTACAAGGATATTGTATTTTAGAAGGTCATACAGGGCTCTGAGAGGGGTTTTATCAAAAAAATATGTGCTAAGATTCTGTAAGGATACCATATAAGGTGATCTAAGAATATGATGGCACTAGCAAGGGACAAGTTGATTTGAAGCTGTCTTGTTCCAGGCTGCTATACAGACGAGCGGGCCGAGGCGGCGCAGCGTTGGCGTTCATATTACTATAGTATATAGGGGCTGTACAGGGATAATAGACAAGAGAATGGAAACTACCGTAGTATGTATGTTAGGGTATGCCAATAGTAATAGTAATAACTTAGTAGTAATAATAGTGGTACCAATTGTAATACCAATAATAATAACAGTAGCAACATACCCCCCCTCCAAACCGTCAAAGTGCCCCGGCTTACAAGACCTGCTGCCGAGGTTCTCAGTGGTGAGTTGAAACGATGTTGGTGCCCAGCAAAGCTCGAAGATTGCTGCGGAAGCGGCCAGCGAGGTAAATGACCTGAATCTCTCAAGGGATCGCTCCACCACGACATCGAACATACTGAAACGAAAATCTGGATCTCCAAACATTTCAGAAATGACTCATCCAATTTATTCCTGCCAAGGTTCAAAGTCATGAGACAAGTAGGTGCGTGGTTGCCTGTCAGCTTGACAAAGCGCCACTCATTGCATGCAAGTGTTCATGTAATGCAAGCTAAAGCTGTGGCATGCAAGAGTAAGGACTGAAGCAAGACAAGCGGACTGTCATATCTGATTCGTGAAACCTGTTACGAGTGCCGTTTCTGCTTCTAGGCCCTCCTACTATCTATGCCTTTGGGACGAAAAGGAATCAATAACATTGCATTCCACCAACCAAGTCCAGCTTCCCAAGAAAGTGCAGCCGGCCTAGAGCGTGGGATAGCAGCAGCGTAGACATGGACACCGAAGATCCCAAGCAACCCAGCAGCAAACTGCCTGCCAACACATGATCAAAGTTGCCTGTGGCCAGCCTATTGTGCTCAACAATAGGCAATTGCACAATCTGGAAAGCCGTGGTTACCCTCCTACGAGCAAGCTTCAGACAACGTTGCGCACGCAAGCAGCTACTTCCAGAGACCTGATGATCGCCCAGATGCAACTTGAATCTCCAAAGATCTACAACATTCAGCGTTGGCCAAGCCGTGCACCTACATGCGATGAGATATCAACGCTCCTAGTCATCGTTGCTACTATGAAACGGTTGCTACAATTGCCTTGATGGCTGCCGGTTCCCCAATAATGACGGCTACGGAAAGTTGTTCAGGTGGCTGACTCACAATGTTGCCTCTACGGCCGAGACGGTCCATCAGCACGATACCTTTGGACCGCCATGGGGCTTTGTTGGATCTAGGGGTGTTACGGTTCAGGACATTGAGAATAGTGATCTGCCAGAAGGACATGCGGACATGCTCCCGGCAGCTACCTACAAGATTGAAGCCTAATTACATCCAGCAACAGCTACACGTGAAGCCAGAGAGCAACGGATATCAAATGATATCAAACAAACAAACAAAGACTGTGTTGTGCATGCCTGAGGGCCCATGGGCGTTGAAACGGATCGCACCTTAGCACCACTCTCAACCCAAGGATTTCCCGGAAAAATGGCCAACTGAACGATGAAACATGATGACACCAACCGAGTCACAGTCTCATAGTGTGCAACAACAAAGCAATGCCAATGAGCAGAGACGCAGCCATCAATACCACGCCCAGCGTCGTCAAATGATTTTGGAAGCCCATTGCAGCCATGACAGGGGCCAAATAAGTTGTCAAACACACAGTCCCGTTTGCCTGTTTGATGCATGTCAAAAGCGCGCTAATTTCAGTTGCAGGATGCTGCAACAACTCGCGGACATTCAAAGGTGTGGGCTCGTCTTTGTCACCCCTCATACCTTCGCAAATGACAGAAAGCTCTTTCTGTAGTGAGATGTCGTTTGGGTCGATGCTGGGTCGTAGAGTCTGTAGGGATTCCAGTGCTAAGGACTGGCGCTCACTGATTGTGGCGTCTGCACCATGCACCAGCCATCGTGGGGAGTGTGGCAGCGATGCCATGCCAACCCCCGCAATGATGGAGGGAACTGCCACGGCACTCAGCATCACCTGCCAGGCCCCTGGGATGGGCTGCAGCACCGCGCCTGCAGCCACCCCTGCACAGGAGCCCAAGGCGAAAGCCGCCCAGCGGCTTCCATTGGAAGCTCCACGCAGCTCAGCTTCCACGGTCTCCACAACATAAGCAGCTTTAGCAGGAGACGACACCCCTTCTGTGATGCCAGAAAGGAAGCGCAACGCGAGAAGCGTGCTCCGGTCCGCCACAAAGAACGTGCCAAGTGAGATGGCTGTAATGCCAACAGCAGTCCATATCAGAATGTCGCGCGAAGAGGGCTCTTTGGAGGTGCAAAGTAGGAGCATGGACCCGCATAGGGCGCCGCAAACTCGTGAACTTACCACTGCGCCAATGTCCCATGCAGAGAGTGGCAACAAATGACTCCCAACAAGCGTGGCATCAGTGAGCTGCAGAACGGCAAACGAAGTGACACCACCATCGAAGCCGGAAATGAAATTGAATAGCGACGGAAACAACACATGAGGCGATGCTGCCAAATGAATTTGAGTCTCCAATTCCTCCACTAGCCGAGCCGGCAAACCATCGGGAAAGCAGAATGCCAGGGTTCCGGGAAGTTCCCTGGGAATAATTGGCCTCACCACTCTCCGCACAGTTTCAGCTGGCGCTGCTGGCTCAGCTGTCTTGTCCTCTTCCTTGACGTGGTCCCCAACACATCGCAGGGATTCGGAAAGCTCAAGCACGGAGCCTTTCAGTGATGAGTAAAAGCCTGCCAAGAGGTCCGCCGCAGCAAGCTCTCCATAAAAGAAGCTTTGGCCGCATGACCGTGCATCAGACCAGACCTTCCGCCGCCTTCTCCTCGGAGGTCTTTGTGTCATGGCTTCGGTGATCCCGGCATCTGCCTCCTGCTTGAGCCACGGCAACGGGAAAAATCCTGAGCGCCCAAGAGTCAGAGGTACCTCTCCTACGTCCACAAGACTTCCATCCTGCCTGAAGAACGCAGCAAGGCTCTCGGCCTCACACCAACTTCAGGACGGCGGACTCTTTTCAAGGACTGCAAAGAACATGGCGGCGGTTGGCAGTCGCGTTGAAAGTAGAAGTAGCAAGCATAGCCGTAGGCTCGGGCACATACTTCTTGGCCGAGCATGTACACTAAGGCCCTGTCCGTCAATGATGTACAGCGACTGGTCATGGATGTGAACAGCCCAGGGCTCCAGTTCGCCCTTCCACCATACGGATTGGCAGAGCTAGCTACAGCACCCCGCCGGCTGCCACTCAAGTGTCTCTTTCAATAGCAAATAACAGCATGCAAGATCAACTGCCTTTGAAGCATAGGCATGAATATGAAACGTCGCTTCCCAACACTTCTCCAGCTGAGCACCTCTTGATCGATGCCACTGCGCTCTGCCACTATGCCCCCACCACGGAGGGAGCAGCCAAAGTCCGCCCACCTTGACCCAGAAAACATGGCATTTCGAACTGCCAGCCTTCATCACCGGCTGCTTAGAGCTCAGCCAGTAAGGGTAGGCATTGCGAAGCTTCACGGTCTTCATGAAGGAGGCCTCGCATCACAAAAGTCTGCAAGGCTCCACTTCCATGCTGTGTGCCGCGCTACATGACCCATGTCATGCCGCTTGCGATACTGATTGGGACAAAGTCTGTCCTGCTCGTCATGGCTGTCAGGTCGTTCCCAGCGCTGGCAGTCGCCTTGGAAGGCCACAAGCAAATTGCTTAAGCCATCGTGTTCACGCGAGTTTGAAGATTCCCAATGCAGGAATAGAGGTGCCGCTCCCAGCGAACGCTTGAAGGCTCACAGCAAGTAGGTGGAGTTGAGCGCATGATCAAAAGGCTGATTAGGGCAACCAGAAGTGGGGCAATTCTAATTCTTATGACGCATCTATCATACTCATCAAAACTGCTTGCTGCCTTTTTTGGCGGCTTTCGGCACAGATGTCTCAAGCCAGGTAGAGGGACTTCAACCATGGATCCCAAGGGATGAAGGTAAATTGCAGACCGAGTTGTGGGTTCAGCGAGTCTCGCACATTGCATGTCGCTCAGAGGTCCTTATTCGGGCCCTGGCAATAGGCATCCAAAGGTTCCTACAGCAAGACACCATTGCCCCGCGCAATGAACAGCATCCTGCAGCTCTAGGTCCACATGATGCCGCGTAGCCGCATAGCCCATCTGAGTAGCTTCCTGGAATAAATGCCTCTGATCACAACTTTCGATAACTCACTCCCCTTCGTAACAAGTTCAACAGACCGTGAAGCCACAACGCAAGACAGCTTCAAAGCACCTCAAATGCATCAAAACAAAATCTTTATGATTCTCAATCCGTTCTGGAAGTGAGCTGAAACTTCTCGGACCAAGCAGCTCACAGTTGCTACGGCTCTGGAAGATGTAATTCAAAGCGATCAATCACGGCAGCAGTATCGGCTTTACAGTGTCCTTGCATGCTCAAGTACTGCTGTTGCGACAACTTCTGGGAACCACGTATTCGAGAAATCCTTTATTCGTGACCACGTAACGCTCAGAGCCGAGACAACCCCACTAACCTCCTCTTCTGGGAAGCCGCACTCTGCGGACAGCCCTGGTGGACCTTCAGCGCTGCGGCTGCCAGGCGGGACATGACCTTGAGAGCACATGTGACCATAGGCTTCGGGCTGTGCAATCTCACCCTTGCAATCTCTGAGCAAAGCACGACTCCCGGAAGGCCTGTTAGACCTATTCAACTGCACTGCCAGAGGGTATTGGAGGTACATGAGCTTCTTCCGAACTATGCCGACCAGCCTTCCCGGCTGCCTAAGCCTGACATGGGACACTCGCGGCATGCTGAAGGGCACCGGCATACGGGCTGATTTTCAGAAACTTCAGCCTTGGAGGGCTGCCACAGATAGCAGCGGGAACCGAACCATTTGAAGCAGCGCCTGCCAGGAGCACTACATCACTCATGGAGGACTAAGACGGCTGTAGTGCTTTCAGGTGACTGCGGTCGCGTCGTCGCGTCCGGGGCCACTCCGGTGCCAGTGCATCACTGCTGCCAGCACCTGCCACGGCCACGCATAGACCGCTGAAAGGTGCCTGCAAGCCTGCGAGTCTAGAAATACATGAGGCCTCCTCTTCATGCTCTGCCACTAGATCATCACTGCGAAGAATTCCGATCTGCAAGCAAGGCAGATCATCTCAGTATCTGGAAGGCCTTTCTGTGCCATCTAAGGCGTCTTCTAATTTCAGGCACCGGCCATGCGGTGCAGTGGCCAAGATCCAAACTGCTCAGTTCGCACCTTGAGCTGAAATGGAGGTGATGAATGGTCAGCAAAGCTTTCGGCAACGTCGATACAAGAAACCCGCGCTCCCAAACTGTTCCAGAACAATGGATTTACCTCTGAGCTTACCAACGCATGATCCAAAGTTCTCCAGCACGTAGCTTTCCTTGCTGTCTGCTGAACGCGTCCCAAAACTGCTGCAAATGTCAGTGACTAAGTAGACGGCTAGCATTTCATCCAGTTTGTCCACGAGCAAAACCTTTCCACGCAGTGCACAGGGAAGAAACTGCAGGACTTCCAAAACCCGAACGCGCCTCGCAGTCAACTATCAATGATGAGCAAAGCTCTGGGGTCATGTGCCTTACAGTGCATGTGGCATCTGGCAAAGAACAGCTTAACTTCACAAAAAGGGTCGTTCAATACTTCCGAAAACACCAGAAGGTCAACTGACTCTGACCCTAGCTCCATGAAGGTCAGGTTTCTTGCCCAAAACGTAGTGGGACCCCCACACATCAGAGACCGCCAAAATTCAACATACGAATCGAGATATCATTGGGCAGTTGACTTCACCAGGAGCTCGTTGAGTGCTGCCTGCAACGGCTGCACCTGGCCAGGTAAAGTGCCAGTTGCAGTTGCGTACAAAGTTGGGCCGCTCTTCCTCTTCTTGGCATTCTTGTCCAGACTTATTGAGTGTTGGGACTTGCGAGTCGAGAAACACGGTCTGCTAACTCTCTCCGTGTCACAGTTCATAATCCGAGCATCAGAATTATGAATGGTACCATATTTAAAGATTTTTTTTGGAAAATTTAGCCGTCCAAGACTAATTTCAATTAGGTGGAATTTCGTATGGGGCTAAGGGACTAGATTTAAAGAAAATTTTGGGGGGACCAATTCTGAAAATCGAGATATTCAATGCATTCTTATTGATTTTTTAATTGGTAGAGGTCCAAGAGCCGCGATCACGCGGGAATGCATTCCTATTCTTTTTGTTAATATTGAATTCCAAGAACCCCAATCATTCTTTTAATCTGGCGCCCTCCATTTCTTATTCTGGCGGGGGGGAGGGGGCCCCCCCCCACTATTCAGATCCTCGGATTACCTCCTTTCGGCTTCCATCTCGGAATCGTGTGCCTCCCACTGGTGGACCAGGCGCAGCAGCTCAGGCAGTATTGCCTGCGAGGGTACTCGAGTACCCTTGGAAAGTCAAAGGGAATACTCCAGGCTGGCCGGGCTGGCCGCTGGCCTTCTTGACGCAGAAGGTACCTGGCACAGAATGCTCACCGGCCCTTTTTCTGCATCTGTGGCCAATGGTAAGACAAGATCTGACTGAGCATTCTGAGCACGAAACCTCTGTAGAGAAACTCCAGGAAGGCGTAAAGAGCCTCTGCAGCCAAAAAAATTAGATGAAGCAACGAAAACGGCTTGCAGAGTCCGAGCTTGCATGCCTCCCCCGAATAGTCAAACGGCACCTCCGACTGCTGCCTGAACCACAGGGCAGGCATCTGCATCCTTCTCGTTTGGCAGCTCTTCGGCATGAATGAGCCCATCACCCTTCTGCGAAACTCCCACTGAGCATGGCAAATAGGGGGTCGGAAGCCATGGAGAGCACCAGGCGATGTGCCTGGTAGATGACCGAGCTAGCACAAGCCAAATGAGAGCTTCTTAGACCGTTTACTGCCTTGAACACTCGTCCATCGGTGCTTCGGAGCGAGACGTCGCAGAAGTGCTGAAAGCAGGGCCACGTACCGTGCAAACGCAGGCTGCCTCTCCAGAATTTTGCAGCCTCGGCATAGTGAGGGAGTCGGTCCCACAATGCCAACCTTGGAAGAAGGTATTTGGCACGGTCGACGCAAGAGCTTTGAAGCCGAAACCAGTGTATCTCACACTCTGCTTACCCTTGCATAACGCATCTTCATCTTGGCCCGCTGCTTTGCACTCTGGGCCGCCTGCACTACCAGTACGTCAGAAAATATTGAGCAGGCGAAGGGAATGCCACCTCCACTGCCACTGACACAAGGTCGCCTTCCAGGGAGTCCTGTTCAGAGGCTCCGTGAAGGATTCACGTCTGAAAAGCAGAAGAAAGAATGGCATGCGCACAAGCCTTGCGGTAAAGTTATCCACACAGCTAAGCATGGTGATGCTTTTGCAGCTCTTCCTCAACCTGCATCGTGATTTCTGAAGGACTCCGTGGCCGGCTGTGGGACATCAGCGACGTGGCAGGTCTAGCGGAACCATCAGGGGCCGTCAGCTTTCATCTGTGATAATACCAGTGGAAATTAACTGGAACTGTTTCCCTTTAGCCTGTTCTCTGTTTTCCTTCTGCCTCTGTGCATCCCGTGACATGAACCGAAGGTCAAGACTGAAAAATTAAACCTGCAAGGCAACAAGATCCGGTGATCAAGCTAGGCCTGAGTTTGTGTGAAAGCTTCTGCGAGCTAGCATCATTGAGCTGATTAAAAGGAGCCAATCAACAGCATGAACCTCGTCAGCAGAAAGCGGCAGTGAAAGTGCCCAGGCATCAGATAAAGCTACCGAACTTTGACGAAAGAATAACTGACGGAGCAGCAACTTTTAGAAATCTGCGATGGCTGGACGGAGCCTCCGCATCTCACACGCTGCCAACTCGCTCAGCTGAGTTGGTCAAAATGGTTCAGCCCGAGCCGAAGACGGTAATCAGTGCATGCGCAAAGCCGGCGC